ATTTGAAAATATCTTGTCCAAGCCTTAAAAAAATTTAAACTGAATTCGGGTTGCTCGAGTTGAGTCTATCCAAGTTGCACATCTAGTAAAAATATTGTATAATTATATAATTTATGAGAGGCTTGTGTAATTATCCCAATAGCTTCATATAATTTATCTTTTTTTATCTATCAATGTGACATATTATATTATTTAAATGTTTATTGTTTTGATTTTTAAAATGACAAATTATTGAAATGTGTGTTGTTTTGATTTTTAAAATGATAAATTATAAATATATTTTTAAAACTTGCTTAAAATAGGAATTGTCTCCTATAGTTTAAAAAATTATAAATACTCACTTGTCAAAAAATTTTATTTAATAGAATTAGCTGAAAAATAAAATTCTTAATTGTTTTTTTTATACAATGATATAATTACTTGAATTATTAATTAAAATAAACATCTAACATTATTAAAAACTATTAATTAACTTGAATATTTATTAACAAAATAAATAATTTATTATGAAATTAAAAACTTTAAAAAGTAAAATGTAATTTTTAAAATCATAACAGACAAATCATATTTTAAGTAAAATTTTAAAATATTTTTAATTTACTGATTGTAGAAACTTTATTGCATGCCATTGACACATTAGTGTTATATATATATATATATATTTGTAAAATAGTTTTTAAGGAAACACTATAGCGCAAATACGCATCATTTTATAATTAAAAAAATTAATAATATAATTTTAATTTTTTGAGTTATAATTTAAAAAAAAGGTCATAAAGCATAACATGAAATATAAGAACTCAAAAGTTATAATTAAAATAATATTATAACTAAAAAAGAAAATTGGTCCTAACTAAATACAAAAAGGATAAACTATTCATGATTTTTTGCATATCACGCTAAACAATAACAATTAGTGACTTTTTTTGTCACAATTTTAATAAATTGTTACTGAGACATGCAATAGTGATATTGTTCTATAACGAATTTTTCAACTGCCATTGAAAATTAAAAATTAGTGACAGCTTTTTATGATAATTTTGTTAAACGGGTGATAAAAGTTATAATGAGTGAAATTTTTTATGACAAAATTTTTAAAATGTTGCTGAAAATTAATAATCAATGACATTTTTTAATAGTATTTGATAAAAGATGTCATTAATTATCATAAGAACTATTAGACAATAAATTCACCAATTAAGACCTACATGTAACTTCCCTATAGAAAAAACCAGTGTTCCACCTATGCTATACATGGATTGTATTTACAATTATTTGTATATATGTGAATTATGATTTTTAATTTTTTTATTTTGCACACAGAAAAATGAATATAACAAATGCAGCATATCTTTAATCAATTATTTTATGTTTGCTTTTATTCAAAATTTAAAAATATTTATAACTAAATTAAGAAAAATTTTATTCCTAACGACATTTTTTACTTCTATATAAATACTTAAAAAAATAAACCTGAAAAGGTAGTCAATATAAATATTATACATTAAATAAAAAAAAATGTGGTTCGCAATTATGCTTACATAAATTTATTATAATTTTAATTTCAAATTTATATATATTGAAAAATCTAGAAATCCCCTAGATATTGATTTGTGATTATGTATCAATTTTAAGCAGAATATAACAATCTCAATCAAACAATCATGACAAATGTGAAAAAAAAAAATCACAATTGGAGCCGGGTGTATTAGTAAAATATCATTCACTTAAAATGCATAAAATTACAATATATATGTATATATATATATATATATAAAAGCAAATAATTAACCAAAACTAAAACTACTTTAAGAAAAAATAAAAAACAAAAACAAAAATGAAATTGTTTGAAATAGAAAGTGATTTATTGATTAATTAATTAATTTTTAAAAATAAACTTTTATAGAAAACAAATAAAACAATATAAAAAAAAAGTATATACAGCAAACATAAAATATAATACAAAAAATAAATAAATTATAAGATTTTCAAGAAGTGAGACATGTAAACAAATTTTATAAAATTTTATCTATTCATATACTTTTTGTGTATGTTTTTTTTATACTTTTAATATTGAGAATGACATTGAATAAGTTTGCACTTATTGCGTTAGGGCCATTTAATAGCTTTACCAAATACATATGTAATAAGGAAAATGTTATGAACCCTAAATAAATTATCAAATTTTCTACCAAACCTTTTACATGGGTGTGGGACCCACACCAATCACATGTGTGTGGGTCCCACAACTATGTGAGAGGTTTGGTAAAAAACTTGGTAATTTGCTTAGGATCCTTAGCATAACTCATGTAATAATTTCATAACACAAAACACAAATAATTGTGAGACAAAGTATCTAAACAAATAAAAACAACCTTCAATGATAAGTAGAAGCACACCTGACATTTTAATTGGAGGTATAATAAAATAAATCGCTATAGAAGAGGGAGACAACTTTATTTTTCATCACAATAATTACATAACTCAATATATATTTTAATGTCTCTCCCTCTTCGACGTGTCCAATTCTCTATCAATATTAGAGTGAATGCATGAACCAAAAAAAAGGAAACATTTGAAAAGACAAAGAGATATGGTTTGAGACATTTCAATTGCTGAATTCTATTAATTAATAGTTATTAGGCTTCAATAGTTGGGTTTCCAATATTTGTTAGTTATTAAAGCTAAATTCTTTGGTTTCATCTATATTTACTTGATAATTTGAGAGTGGGCATGTGTCAAGTCTTTACACAAATATTTGGCATATTTTTTTAGCATTATTAATGAAATGTACTATATAATTATTTATTTTTTTGCAATCGCAGCCTGCTATTTTTTAATAAGAATTTATATTTATTTTAGATATTTTTTACAAATTAGTTTTACAGTGTAATTTTTTTTCTCTTTCTTCGCAATTGTAACCTGTTATTTTTTAATAAGATTTTAAATTTGTTTTAGATATTTTTTAATATATAATTTTTTTTAGATTTTAATGAAATGTACAATGTAATTTTTTTTCTCTTCACAATTGCTACCTACTATTTTTTAATAAGAATTTATATTTTTTTTAGATATCTTTTCAATATATAAATTATTTTTTTAGATTTTAATGAAATGTACAGTGCATTTTTTTTTCTTTTTTTTTTTCGCAATTGCAATTGTTATTTTTTAATAAAAATTTATATTTGTTTTAAATATTTTTTAATATACAAATTATTTTTTACAATGTAATTTTTGTTCATTTTTTTCACAATTACAACCTGTTATTTTTTAATAAGAATTTATGTTTAATTTAGATATTTTTTTAATATACAAGTTATTTTTTTTAGATTTTTTATAAAAATAATTTAACAATTCCATCACTAACCATAGTACATGGGAGAAGTTGAAAATGGTGCGGGAATAGGAATGGGAGAAGTCAAAAAGACTTGCGGGTTAAGAGAAATCAATAAATACTGAGATTTTTTTTTTAAAATTAGAAAATTACGATTGAGATATTAGAACTCTCACAAGGCTTGTGGGTTATATATTTTTAATATACAAATTATTTTTTTAGATTTTTTATAAAAATAATTTTGCAATCCCATTACTGACTTTAGTGTATGAGAGAAGTTGAAAATGGTGCGACAATAGGTATGGAAAAAGTCAAAAAGGTTAGGAGAAATCAATAAATGTTGAAGTTTTTTTTTTAAATCAAAAAATTAGAAAATTATGATTGAGATATTGGAGCCCCCATGAGATTTGTGGAGTAAAAATCTCATTTTCCTTATATAATATAGAAAAATTGTAGGGACCCTAAATGTTTTATTATTTATTCTATCAAATATTTCACATGAGTGTAAGACTCACACTATATAAATTTTATATCCATATAAAATATTTAATAAAATATTTAAAATCTCTAATATTACTCTATATATTATGCCTCCGTTTGGCAAGTTGGGTTGGGACTTTTTTGGCTATTTTGGCCACAAAAGACAAAATAGACTATTTTAGTCACAAAAAACAAAACATCACATCCAACCCATAATCATTACACTATTCTCTCACAAAAAAAGTCAAAAAAATTAAAAAATCAAAAAGTCCTTTCCAAACTAAACTTTTTAGTTCGAACTAAAATAATCAAAAAAATTAAAAAATTAAAAAATTAGTGAAATTTTCTTAAAGTTTCCTAGAGTGCTATATTGTATGGTTCAGATTTATTGGCAAGTCACATCAGAAAAATTGATGTGACTTGCCAGTAAATCTCAACCACACAATGTAACACTCTAAGAAATTTTAGGAAAAAATCATTCTAGAGGATCCTTGCTCTTTTAAATGAGTGTATTTTAAAAAATTTCAATTTATAGTAAACTTTATTGTCAAATTACCAGGCCGAATATATTATGCCACGTGTACAAATTCTATATAAACGCTCACAGCTCACATCCCATAATCATTACACTATTTTCTTACAAAAAAAGTCAAAAAAATTAAAGAACCAAAAAATTCTTTCTAAACTAAACTTTTTAGTTCAGATTAAAATAATTAAAAAAATCAAAAAATTAACTCACTTTCTAAACCAACCCTATAAAGATGACACAAGGAAAGATACAGATGGTATACCTTTTTAAATGAGTGTATTTTAAAAGAAAAATGCTTGGGAGCACTAATTAGTGCTCCCACTAATTAGGTGGCAGTGGGTCTCACCATTAATGATGTGATGTTTTGGTCTTGGAGTTGTGTTTTTTTTTTTTTTTACTTTTTTAATGCATTAGTGTTATTAATGGTGATGTTTTTAATGGGATAAATCATTGTTGATTTTAAAAAAATTCAATTTAGTAAACTTTATTGTCAAATTACCAGGCCGAATATATTATGCCACGTGTACAAATTCTATATAAACGCTCACAGCTCACATCCCACAAAGTTGCTCTTTTTCTTTTTCTTTTTTCTTTTTTCTTTTTTTTTTGCCGTTAAAAAAAGTCATCAAATTACGTTACTTTTATCTCAGATAAAAAGGCAAGAAAGAAAAACACAGTGAAGAAGAGAGAGAAAACACACACAGAAAGAGAGAGAGAGAGAGAGAGCTCACTAATTGACGGCGGCCGGAAGCTTCACCTCCGCCCAGCGCCACCGCTTTCCCGGCGGTCTTCAGTTCCGAAAACGGCAGCTCTCTTTCCTTGCCGGAGATTCGTTGGCGTTCTTGCTTTCTGGTGCTTCAAATACTGAGCTCTCATCATTTTGTAATTCCTAGATCGAACTCTTTCTCTGTTTCTTCACCCTTGTTCCTTCAAGCTGTTACAGCTCCTCCAAGCTCGAATCGGTACTTTTCTAGGGTTTTCAAAACCCTTTTACCTTCAAAGATTCGCATCTGTTTCAGCTTGTGCCTTTTGATTTCTTGCCTTTTTTATCGCTGCTAATGTGCCTGTTTTGTTGTGCTTCGTTCTAGTCTTCTCTGCCTTCTCTTCACATTTTTTTTTTGGTCAAGTTCTGTTTGGTTCTCAATTTCTAGCCGTTAGAGGCAACCATACCATATATATATAAAGTTAGATTTTGCTTTAAAAAGTTCAATAGTAGTCATTTTAGCTCTGTTTCAACTTTATTTTCATCTCCATTTTTTTTGTCTTTGAGTTGGGTTTCATTGCAAAATCAAACAATGCCTTCATTCTCTTGTTCTGTATTTTGGGGATTATTGTGTTTTGGTTCTTAGTTCGTTAGACCCATTTTATTATAGATACAGCTTGTATTCGAAGTTAGAAAAGGTATAATCTTTGATGGAAGATTGAAAAAACTGATTAATGTTTGTTTCCAGCTAGAGATTAGAAATGAAGTTGTTTAGTCTATTACTAGTAATTTTGATGCTTCTATTTCCTATTTTTGTGAGATCTTTGAATCCATCTCTAAACGATGATGTTCTGGGCTTGATAGTCTTCAAAGCTGACCTTCAAGATCCCAATGGAAAATTGGTTTCTTGGAATGTAGATGATGACAGTCCTTGTAATTGGGTTGCGGTAAAATGCAACCCTAGGTCCAACCGGGTCTCGGAGCTTGTACTTGACGGGTTTGGTCTTACAGGACGGATAGGCCGAGGCCTACTCCAATTGCAGTATCTCCAGAAATTGTCACTGGCAAAGAACGATCTTACTGGGAGCATAAGTGCCAATCTTACCCGTCTTGAGAACCTACAAGTTCTTGACTTGAGTGAGAATAATCTTTCTGGGTCAATCCCTGGTGATTTCTTCCAACAATGTGGTTCTCTAAGGTCAATTTCCTTGGCCAACAACAAGTTTTCAGGACAAATTCAAGACAGTTTGAGCTCCTGCCTGACCCTTTCTGCAATTAACTTCTCCACCAATCAGCTTTCGGGTTCATTACCTTCTAGTATATGGTCTTTGCCTGGGCTTAGATCGCTTGACCTGTCATATAATCTGCTGGAGGGTGAGATTCCAAAGGGCATCCAAGGATTGAATAACTTGAGATCAGTTTATCTGCAGAAGAATAAGCTTACAGGTGAGGTTCCAGATAGAATTGGTAGTTGTTTTCTTTTGATGTTGATTGATTTTGGCAAGAATTCACTGTCTGGGAATCTTCCAAACACAATGCAAAAGCTTACCTTGTGTATTGATTTGATCTAAATTTACATAAAACTTGTTTGCAGGTGATGTTCCAGAGTGGCTTGGAGAAACGAGAAGCCTTGAGACGCTGGATCTTTCAGATAATAGCTTTTCTGGCCAGGTTCCAACTTCAATTGGGAATCTTCAGTCCTTGAACGTGCTGAATATTTCCATGAATGCTTTAACTGGGAGTTTGCCAGATTCTATGATCAACTGCAAAAACCTCCTGGTCGTAGATTTCAGTCAGAATTCGTTGATGGGTAGTCTTCCTGCTTGGATATTTAAATTGGGCATACAGGAAGTTTTGCTGTCTGGAAATAGACTAAGTGGTAGTATGGACAGTCCTTTTTCTTCCTCGATAGAATACTCGCATCAAAAGCTTCAGGTCTTGGATTTATCCCATAATGCATTGTCGGGCAATATTCCATCTGCTGTGGGAGATTTTAGCAGCTTGCAGGTCCTGAATTTGTCAAGAAACTCGCTCGATGGTGGTATTCCAGCAAGTATTGGAGGATTGAAGGCATTGGATACTCTGGATTTGAGTGAAAATAGTCTTAGTGGAAGCATCCCTTTGGAAATTGGTGGAGCTATATCTCTGAAGGAACTCAATCTAGAGAAGAATGCATTGGCAGGGACAATTCCAGCTTCCATTCAAAACTCTTCGTCACTGTCATTATTGTAAGTTCCCTTTGCTCTGTTTAATTCTTTTGTTGCTTTGCCTTTTACTTTGGTGTCCTTGATTTCAGTCTGGGTAATCATTGGGTAAGCTATTCAGCAATGATGACCAACCACACTAAAGACATACCGTAAGGCAGCCCCTTCTCTCTTGTACTTATGAACATTTTTCTGCATCAACTAGATAACCCATATCTTACCATATCTTTGGAATTGTCTGCTCATAGCACAATGGAATTGTCTAGTTATAGCCTGATATGCTACTTCATTGGTTCTATATGAAAGACAATCTTCGCTATTCTTAAATTTGTCTGTGTGTGATTGGTTGTTTAGTTTGTACATACTGTTTTAATGTATTTGAATTGCTTAATGCTTCTCAAAATACATATAGGAGATCTATAATGCTTGATGTGAATGTTGACACATTAAATTCTAACAATTCTCATCTTACAAGTCAGTCTGCAAGGTTTATTCTAGTTTTTCTATTTCCTAATTTTTGGGTTTGGGTGGAAAGAAGACTTAACCAACAATGAGAACTATCACCATTCTTACATATTTTATTTTCTTGTTTTTGCCAAATTTCGCAGGATTCTTTCAAGGAACAACCTTGTTGGCCCAATTCCTGCAGCCATAGCAAAACTTACTAACCTTCAAATTGTAGACTTGTCTTTTAACAAACTCACTGGAACCCTACCAAAGCAATTGGCAAATCTTCCCCATCTTCTCTCCTTCAACATTTCCCACAACCAGTTCCAAGGTGAACTACCAGCCGGTGGTTTTTTCAACACTATTGACCCCTCTTCTGTCTTAGGCAATCCATCTCTTTGTGGTGCTGCAGTCAACAAGAATTGCCCTACTGTCCTTCCAAAACCGATCGTTCTTAATCCCAATTCTTCTGATTCCACTCCCAGCTCAATCCCCCAAAGTCTTGGCCACAAGAAAATCATCCTCAGTGTTTCTGCCCTCATTGCAATTGGTGCAGCTGCTGTGATTTTGATTGGTGTAATTGCTATCACTGTCCTTAACCTCCGTGTCCGGTCCTTGACATCTCACTCAGCAGCAGCCCTTCCATTATCCGGTGGTGAGGACTTCAGTCATTCCCCCACTACAGATGCCAATTCGGGTAAGCTCGTTATGTTTTCAGGGGACCATGATTTCAGCACTGGAGCACATGCTTTGCTCAACAAGGATTGTGAGCTTGGGCGTGGTGGATTTGGATCAGTCTATCAGACTGTGCTTCGAGATGGGCGACCCGTTGCCATCAAGAAGCTTACAGTCTCAAGTCTAGTCAAATCCCAGGAAGATTTCGAAAGGGAAGTGAAGAAATTGGGGAAAATCCAACACCGTAACCTTGTGGCACTTGAAGGCTATTACTGGACTCCATCATTACAGCTCCTCATATATGAATTTGTGTCTGGTGGAAGTTTGTATAAGCATCTCCATGAGGTGTCAGATGGAAACTTCCTCTCATGGAATGATCGATTCAATATCATTCTTGGGACAGCTAAAAGCTTGGCTCACCTACACCATATGAGCATAATCCACTACAATCTAAAATCAAGCAATATCCTGATTGAGAGCTCAGGTGAACCTAAAGTAGCTGATTTTGGCCTAGCGAGGCTGTTGCCAATGCTAGATCGATATGTTTTAAGCAGCAAGATTCAGAGTGCACTCGGCTACATGGCACCTGAATTTGCATGCCGGACAGTAAAGATTACCGAGAAATGTGATGTCTATGGGTTTGGGGTTTTGGTTTTGGAGGTGGTTACCGGCAAGAGGCCTGTTGAATACACGGAGGATGACGTCGTGGTTCTTTGTGACATGGTCAGAGAAGCATTGGAAGATGGCAGGGTTGAGGATTGTATTGATGGGAGGCTTAAAGGGAATTTCCCAGCTGATGAGGCGATTCCAGTAATGAAGTTAGGGTTAATTTGCACATCTCAAGTGCCATCGAACCGGCCAGACATGGGTGAGGTGGTTAACATATTGGAGCTAATCAGATGCCCTTCAGAAGGCCAGGATGAGTTGGTTTGAACTTGTCTTCTAGAATTTGGACCCAAAAAAAAAAAAAATGCAAGAAGTATTCACCGGGTTCCAATTTGGGACCCGTTTGGATATTATTTCTTCTTCCATTTCCTGTTACCAATCTTGTTAGCTAAATAGTTTGTTTATCCTAGCTATAAGTTGTGATTATGTTCAATTTCAAACTAGTCAAGACTCCTAAGGCATAGTTTGGGAAGTTGGTTTTGGTGGGTTAGGGGCTAAAATAGTCACAAAAAACAAAATAGGCTATTTTAGCCACAAAAAATAAAACATCAAATCCAACCCAAAAAAAGTCAAAAAATCTTTTCCAAATCAGGCTTTTTAGTCCCAGGCTAAAATAGTCAAAAAGTCAAAAAGCTAAAAAGCCAACCCGTTTCCCAAACGGAGGCTAAAGCATTTTTCATGCTTTCTAGTCTATAATCTCTTTCTAGTCTATAATCTGCTGCCCAAATCCAGTTCACTGTAGTTGTTAATGGATGTCCCCCTAACTAGCTCTAATTGGCATCTTAGAAGATGTGACATGCGTGACTCTCAAGATGAGCTTCACGATGACAAAATAATCAAACATCCACTGATGTTTGTAGGATGATATATCTCCATTTGAAACTTCAGTAGTTGGTGGGGGTAATGACGATATCATCCTATATAATGTCTCACTAACTAATACGACAGATCAAGCAGAGTTTTGGATAGAATGGGATCGACCTATCTTTTATTAAACTGATCAAATGATCTGAAGACCAAAACGATGCCACCCGACTTCATTTAAAGTTGTCTCTTACTTAGCAGACCAAATGATCCTCCCCCGACCTTATTTTATTCATGAATGATATTATGAGATGAGTAATACTACAATAATTATCTCTTTTTATTAATTTTTCTTATCATATAGGGCATGTTTGTTTGGGTGGACATGAGTTTGGGATTGGACTAATAGTCTAATAAAATTATTAATCCGATGTTTGGTTAAACAATTGAAGCAGGGATTAATTATTTTAAACTTGACTATTAGTTAAGATATGATACATAATCCAACGGATTCTTAGTCCTAGAACTATTAGTCATGGAAATGCTAATCCAGTCCATCCAAACAAATATGACCATAGTGTATTAGTCTAATTGTTAGCATCATATTAGAACCGTATAAGAGATATATATACGTGGTGAAACTTATATATGAATATTTTATTGACAAATAAAACGATTAATATAATATTATATAGAAATATGACAAAGGTAACATGTTATTATTATGATGAGACCCAATAAAAGGAGGTGATAGACAAACTTTAACTTGGTTGGGTTAAACTTTAACTTTTTCTCATACTAAAAACATGTTTTTGTTTTTCATTTGAAGTCAAAAGTGATTTGATGGTCTGACAGGGCTAAAGATTCCTAGCACTTGCTTTTAAGCAAATAAAATATCTTAAAGTGGTGGATAAAATAATGTGTTGCTAAAAATAACCAAGTGATTGAAATCGAAAATAGAATAATGAAGAATATGCTTCTTTGTTGAAAAGAGCCATATTATTTTCTTTACCAATGTCTTTTAGGTTTTGAATTTCTTGCTTCTTTGTTGCTTTCTTTGTGTCATCTTGTTCCTTCTCCCAAATTCCAAACTCTTTGACTTTAAAGGGCATTTATGGCCCCCAAAGTTCTATGGATACTTCTTCCATCTTTTTTCTCCATGATTTTTGTTTTTATTTTATAATCGTATCCTAAGCTATTTTATTCAAACTTATAATTCATAGGTGTTAAGCAATGGACATGTATATTCTCGAAGTGTCAAAATTTTAAATTATTTTTTATTTTTTTAGATGCACCTTACTTAGATGTATCTAAATAATAAAATATTTGTGAAAAAATATTTTTAAAAAGTAATAAATAAATAAAAATATAAAAAATGTACTGAATTTTTATTTTATTTTTTTATTTTTGGATATTTAGTAAAGTTTTTAAAGATTTTTTTCACAAATATTATATTTTTTTAGTGTATTTATGTTAGGTGTGTTTAAAAATTAAAAAAAAATATTTGTTTAAAATATTAAAAAAAATTCATTGAAAATATTAAAATACAAAAAATAAAAAAGTAAAATTTTAAAAAAATTATTTTCTGAAAATTAAAGCCAAATAAGCTGATTATGTTGCCGATAAAACTCGATCAAACATCACAATTGATAAAGAAATATCTTATTTATTAGGCCAACCTTTGTTTTCTTCTTTTTTCGCTAGGATTTTCTATTTGTAAAATTCATGTTACCCTAATTTCAATAGGCAATGATTGGTGACCACAAATTCTGTGGTTCAAATGGTCTGAAAATGCCAAAATGACGTTGTTTTGGGTACAAGACAACTCCGAAAATGTCAAAACGACGTCGTTTTGGCATTTTCGAGCCATTTGAGCCACAGAATATGTGGCCACCAAATATTTTCCAATTTCAAAAGGTTTACATGAATCTTGAAGCATGATTGTACATGTAAAAATGAACCTTACTGTATTTGTATATATATATATATATATATATGTATATGTAAATATGTATTAATCCTTATATATTTAAAATTTTCAAGAAATAGAAAAATCCCCATTTGCCTGGACTGTTTTGTCCTAAGACCATCTTCAATGGTTCATCAATGTTTCATTAAATTTAAGTTTGATGAAAAAATTTACTTTTTGCTGCTTCAATGGTTCACCAAATCTTTCATCAAATTCAGGATTTTTCAAATCTTTCATTGGATTAAGAATGGATGTGCCTTTTATCAAATCACTGCTCATAACTGTTAAATTTTCACCACCGGATGTCTTCCGAATGTCCTTCCGGATGATCATCTCAAGACAAAAATTTATAAAAAATTTACACTGGCCAATCAACTAGCCAAACATTCATCCGGTCGTCTGCTTGGTCGATCAGTATTCTGATGAAGTTTCAAAAATTTACATTAGAGCAGTTGATATCAAATGAATTTTTTACTCAAATTTAGTAAAAACTTTGACAAATCGTGAGACATATTCTATGAAGGTATTATTAGAATTTTGAAACTAGACCTCTTGAAAGCTCCATTGTCATGCCTATGGTGATAGGCCATCAAGTTTACTTCATATTTCAAATGAACACAGTGCTTTCCATTAACAACAATAGGGACAAATGGTTTGTTAAGCAAGGGTAGATTTGCCATTTTACAAGGAGATGTTGATGTTTCATATTGTTAAAAGAGTGCTGCTACTAGCACTTTATTTATTATTTTGGATTCTTCATTTCTTTGGACTCCTAATTATGAATATTGAAACTCTTAAAATTTCTTTCTTCCTCCTAAATAATGCCAAAATTATCCTTATGAAAATGTCATCTCATTCAAATGCACACCCTCGCATCCTAAAAATCATTATCTCCCAAACACCTAACAAAAAAACTCCAAAAACCATTCTCTCTCTCTCTCTCTCTCTCTCTCTCTCTCTCTCGCTCGCTCGTGACGATAGAAGAAAAATCTTTATGAAGTGATCGGTGTAAGGAATGTGTTTTCTGCAATCTTCATTTTTTTCTTCGCATTAGGTGTATTTATCTTCCTTCAATTCTATCCATTTGTTTGATCAACCCAAAACCCTAAAAACAATACGTATAAATATATATATCTATGTGTATGTATAGTTCGAAGGGAGCAAATTCGTATTTTACTTAGTCTCAACCTCGCTCCTCCCCAATCTCCCAGAGTCTCTCTCCTCTCTCTTTCACTGAGTACGTTCGAACCCGTATTCCCGAACAAATAAGCTATGTTCGGAGCTGTGTTCTTAAACAAATAACCAATGTTTGGGTCTGTATTCTCGAACTTGATAAAATGAAAACTTCTGCCAATGTGAACAATTTTAATCTTTCAAAGTGTATCAAATTTTCATGTTTGAACCTATGTTCCTGAACAAATAGCCAATGTACAGGCTTATGTTCTTGAAGTTTGGTCGTATGTTCAAGATTTCAATATTAAAAAAAAAGATACGAACATTTTTCATAATTTTTGTCGTGTTTTTTAATAAACTTACCCTTACAAGCCCAACATCCTCTGATCTAAGAACACCATAAAAATTACGAACCTTCTCTAAACTTACATTGTTGTACTTCTCTCATCTCATGAAATTGTGATTGTCAAAAAAACTTTCATTTATTGCTATTGTCGAAAACGTATGTTTAATTGAATGGTTGCCACCATTGCTACCGGATCGCCATCGGAAGGTTTTTAAGGTTTTAAGTGTGGGATTTGGAAAAAATGAATGGATGGTGATAGAAGTGGATGCTCTCACAAATCTTATCTCATTATTTAATAGGTGTGTTTGTTTAATTGTGAGATAATTTATTTCAAAATAATTGATATCCCTTTTAATAATTTTATTTAAAATTATTATTATAATAAAAAAATTAAAAAAATAAAAGATTCAAAATAATAAGACCAAGTTTGGCTAACCTAAAAAAGTGCACTTATTTCATCTTTTTATCTTTTTTAGGTCACATCAGCTAACATCTTCTCTCTATTTTTTCTACACATAATACAAAAAAAATTAAAAAATACACTTATTAAATCTTTCTAAACTTGACCTAAATGTGGTGTTAATAAAAGCACGCTTGTTAAAATTTTGCACAACCATGTGCATGAATTGTAAACAATGTTAGAGTTGTCCCTAATGCAGCTAGATCTAAGTATTAAATAGATGTTGTTGGGCCCAATGGAACCTAACCTCTTGGCATTTTCATCATCAGCTAGCACATGGGTCTTGAATAAATCTATATTTATCCTTTCGATTTATTTATTTTTTTTATTTTGGCAGATAATCTTTTTGATTTGGACCATCAAATCAATGTTCACTGAAAGTGAGAGAAGGATATCCCACTGCTAGTCCTTGGCAGTTATTCCTTTTGATTTTTGTTGCAATTGTTATAATATCACTAGTTTACAAAACCTCCATGTCTCCCCATTATACAACGCAAATCCGTACCAACAGAAATTTTAGAATAATACTGCGGCGCATGAGGGTTGGATCTAT